GTCTCAGTCCGAACACAATTCCTCCACTATGAGATCTGTGGGTTCACTAGTTAACATTGGCAACCAACTCGGAGGTGCTCATGGAGCATAATAAATAAGTAGCTATTGAGGTGGGGGGAGGTGCTTTTGCTCCCTGGTGTTAGGGAAGAAAAGGCCAACATCAGCTATCAGAGTGAGCCAAATAATCGCAGAGGACAGATGCCCCTAGCTCACACTGAAGGCGCAACAGGACTTCCCATGTGGCAAAGGCCACACACCACCCTGCTGCTATATTATGTGCCCGTGGCACTAACTTCTTGCTGTTCCCACAGATGACTTGGAAGTTCAAAAAGAGTCTCTCTTGCTTTTCCACAGTCTACTGGTTGATATAACATCAGTGATAGCATTCATATATTCTAGTAAAGAAAAAATGTTAAGAAACATATAGCGATGTGATCAATTTCAAATTAAGGAAATGAAAAATAAGTCCGCCATAAAATATCATTTTCACATTCCAGATGAGCCAAAGTCAAAAATACTGATAATGCTCAACATTGGCAAGTATGGTAGAGAAATCAAGTATTCTCAAAAACTAGTCAGAGTATATTTTTGTACAACCGCAATCTTAGGGAGGGCAATTTGGGCAATGTATCAATCAAAATTTAAAACACACATCCCCTTTATTGCAGCAGTGCTTTTTCTAGGACTTTATCCTAAGGAAATGATCTGATAAATATTTTAAAACACATGCACAAAGTTGTCCATCACAGCCAAAAAAATTTAGAAATGACCTAAGTGAGTAACACGAGAGACCTGCTTAGTATAGCATAGTCCATCCAAACACAATTTAAACATTAAAATGGTTATGTGGAGCTGTAAATATCAAAAGGAAAATATGTCCCTAATATATTTTAAGTGTAATGAAAATCCAGCTTTAAAAAAGAGTATAAATGGAATGACTCCATTTTTTGTTTTAAAAAAAAAAATACGTATATGTAAATAGGTGGTGCACATTCTTTTAAGAATAGATTGTGATCGATTGTCTTTTGTTTTGGCATGGTCCATAGTGCAAATAAATGGATGATACCCAAACACAATATTCTTATTCTGTTCATACATGTATGGGGGTAAAAAGGGCAGTCTTGAAGAAATAATATGTGCTGTGGTGTGCTGGTAGGTATTTAACAGCAAGCCTTCAGGTGGGGCAGGTAGAAGTTCTCTGTAGCACTTACCGATTTCTGTGGCATAAATACTCCCAACATTATGCATTTCAAGCACTAATGGGACATCACTGAATGCAGAGTTGGGAAGAGATGTACAGTAACATACCATTATATAGTATTTCCATGATATGGATACAACAGATACAAATAATCCTAAGAGTATAGACCATATTAAAATGTAGTAAAATATTAGAAAGTGATGTTTTGTATATGCATTTTTTATAAGTCTGGAAGGAGGGTCACCAATATAATAATATTGATCATGTCTGGGTGGAAAGTTCATGAATCATATTTACTTCATTCTTTAGACCTTTATATGTCATTTCAATATTTTTATAGTAAACATATGTTACCTTTATAATCAGAAAAAATTTTCAAGGTTTTCTTTTTCTTTCTTATTTGCTAAAATCTAGGAAAGAAAGAAATCAGAGAACACAACTTTTAAAACAAGTCTAGCTGTAACAAAACACTTCCCCAAAAGGAGTCTGATTTCATTAGAGTATAACTAAAGATAATGGTGAGTAAAATTTGAATCAATTAAATCATACCTTTATTCAGTCATGGTATAAGGAGATGAGCACTCAGTGTTTCTAAGCCCTTTCAGAATATAAATATGCAACATCTGAATACAAAGGAATTTGAGCTCCCAGCCCATCTCACACTCTCCCTCTACAAATAAGGACACTGAGTCCTAAGACTGGTAGGTGTTTTCCAAAGTAAGCACTACAAAGCAGGTTATAAAGTAACTCAGCTCCTCTCCATTTATAAATGGTCTCTATAGCTTGTGAATAAAAGTATATATTCCTCACTTATCATTATTTAATGAGAAGAGACGACCTCATGGGGGATGGGTGGGCAGGGTAGTATTCATTCATTTGGTTAATTGCTGAAGGCCTCACTCCTCCTATCTTTGCATAGACCTCAGCTTATGCTTCTCCAGAATTTTATACTGCTTCAGACAATTCCACATAGACTGTCTTAGTTGATCCTCATAAGAGCCCTGTGAGACAGGTAAAGTAAGAAGGACAACTCCCATTTTACAGCTACAAAAACTGAGGCTAGAGCAGGCAAGTGGCTAGCCTAAAGCTAGTGAGAGCCTGGTCTCTGGTCCCATTATGGTGCTGTCTGGGAGACGGTCTCCTCTTTGAGGCCTTTCAGAGGCAGTCATCTGGGTGAACCTTCTCAGAAAGTCACTTTCTCCTCTTTCCTGCCTTGTCCTCCTAACAAGTTCTTTCTTCCATTGGCTCCTATCTCATTTTGCACTTAAGGATATTACTTTCAGGTCACCTAGAGTGTCTCTTTCGTTCCTGTTTTATTAGTGCTAGAGTGGAAGATAGTCCCAGGCATCACTAGGCGTGGAAATATTCTGTTCTTCTTTATTTGACATGAGGGCTAAACCCTAGAATGCTGTTTTCTCTTGAAACTTGCAGTCATTTCCATCATCGGAGGAATGACTTCTGCAAAGGTCCAGAGTGTATATTAGAAAGCAAGAAACTGTAAACACTTTGGTGTGACACATTTCTAGACAATCTTGATTTGCTAAAAGGGATTAACGTTGAGGCCAAATGAGATAGACTGACTCAGGAAATACAAATCATGTACAACAAGAGATCCTGGGAAATCTAAGCAGATGAGATGGATCTAAGCTTTGTTTTATCAGGGAGGAAGTGTGTTCTCCTATTAAGAGTGCTATATCCTCTGCCAAAGCTGAAGAAGGCAACAGGAGGCTATGTTCAGAGCTACCAACTTAACCTACATGGGGTCTCGGCTCCTGGTCTTCATGGTTGATGTAACCTTAGATGAGCAAATTCTCAGTGTATCAGTTTTCTCCTCTTTCAGGTGGGAAGCATAGCACCTACCTCACAGGGTGTAGTGAAAACCAGGTTAGCTAGTAGGCAAGAAACTATTGGTAAACTAAAAATTTCTAAATATACGTGGCATACATTTAAGATATCCTGCTAATTTTTGAAGCTTACTGCTCCTGGAGAAGGGAATGGAGTAATGAGTTTAAAAGGGACAAAGCGTCAGACACAGCAACAGGCAGGTGGCCAGGTTTCTCCAGGCAGAGCAGGATGGAGAGCTCAAGAGCGCATACTAATTGCTGCACCTCAACCGAGACTACCGGCCAGATGACTCATCTCCAGAAAACACAGTGTCCTTTCCTTGTCAAAGGCCCTCTCCTAACTGGGCTTTCAGCTGCATGCAATACTAAGTTGACACCCTGATGCATTGACTGGGTGATGCTATTATGAAGATGAACTATTAACCACACTGCTTCACTAGGATACATAGGCTAAAGAAGGGGTAGTGGTTTCCCTTGAACTAGGAAAGCCTTGACAGAAAGTAGATGATTCTTCATGACTCCTGAATGACAAACTGTGGAGGAAAAGAAATGAGTGTGCAGGAAAAGAGTAGGTATGTTTCCATGTGAGGATCTGAGGGAGAATTTAAAAGACCAGTAGAGAGAAGGAGACTCTGCCTTCTGGTGAAGAATATTCAAGATGAGGATCAAATTTTCAACTTAATATAGAGAATTCTCTTAATTCTCTTAATGTAGAGAAAACACTCTGGAGAAACAAGGATGATATCCAGCGTGGGTCAGAAGGTCATTTCTGATGACATCTGTGTAGGGCCTAAAGGCAACGGTCATTTGGTGGTCAAACCCAAAAGAAGTAAGGAGATGGTTAAGAAAGTCATGTAAACTTGGGTGACTTTGATTCCCTTATAATTTTTTCAGCTTTGATAGCAGAAGGCATCTACTCTTGAAGGTCCAAAAAAATGTTGTTGCTATAGGAACAGGTAAGCAGATTAGACTTGAAAGACCAGTTCAGGAACAAAGAATTTAATAGCCAGGGCTAAAGCAATTAACCAAGAAAACATTTTAAGTAAATATCTTTTGGGTTTGTTATTTATATATTAATTCCAGGAAGATAAAAATGTTACTGTAGAATGAGAGCTTCACATTTTAACGTTTTAATTACACCATTACTGGCATAAAAGTCTATGCTTACACAATTAGCAGAACAGCCTTATTAACAGAAGTACACATTCCTAACTCTCTCTTGATTATATTGTAATTGAGAAATACAGCTTCAATTTCAGCAAGAGCATAAGAATCATCTTTGATTTTTCCTACAGTTTCTCAGATGGGAACACATCTAAATTAAAAGAGACAGTGAACTCCAGAAATTTTTCTGAAACCAATCTGTACGTAGGGAGCTACAAGTAAAATTCTAGAAGTAAAGAGAAATGCACGTAGGCTGATAACTGTTAATATTTTATATGTTTTCCCTGTCCAGCAGTCTTTGTGAACACAGATATGTGAGCAGAGAATAAGGTCAGAACCCCAGCTCCCCTCCTACTTCGCTGTAGATGTGTTACTTCTTCCTATCAGGGAATACGCTGCTCCCAACATTAGGGATTTGCTGAAATTATTAGACGTTTTGAACAGAACTCGCTATACTGATTAAGTCTCAAAAACATATCATGAAGGGGCATTGTACTTCTCTCCCTTTCAATTTTACTTCAAAACATTCTTGATAAAATGAATACAATGTTTTCCATCCTAGCAAATTTCTGCTGTCAGAGGTTACATTTATGAGAAAGAAAGATTTCTTGAACATTACCTTTTCTCACACAGTGCCAGAATCAAATCGCAGAGTACAGTGTGTGTATGAGTGTGTGTGTGTGTGCGTGTGCACTGTGCGTGTGTATGAGTGTGTGTGTGTGTGTGTGCGCGTGAATACTGGAGGATGGGGAGTGGGAATGGAAAGAGGGGGAATGTGGCTAGAGTCTTACCATCTCATTCTCTTCTCCTTCATTGAGCAAAGCTTGCTGGCCCTTCTCAAAGTGGTCCCCCATGGAAAAGTGATTCCACTCCTCCCTGACCTTCTGGAGCAGATGCGTCCAGGACGAGTTGAACTTGCCCAGCCACCGCCGCTCACCAGCTGACTGAGAGACTTAATGATCCTCCAGGTTAAAACTCCTTCTGGAGCACACACCTTCTTTCAGCAAATGACAGTACTTAGCAAACTGAACTCCTCCTACGAGCCACCCTCTGCTTGGAGGAATTTCTGCAGGCTCCTGGCTAGCTGCATTCTCTCTGAGCAGCTGTCCCAAAGGAGGCTGCTGCTCCCATGCTGATCTTTTTGTGCCCAACATACAGGGAAAGAACTCATTGCCTGCACAGTGCCTGCCAGCAGAAGACATCTGACTGCAAATCCAGCGGGACAATGCAGAGTTGGCAGGACCTCTCCGAGGAGTGGGGAGCAGGCACAAGGACTCCCAGATTTATTCACAAGGAACTGGGGTGGGAAGGAGGCTAACAGAGCTGCAGAATTTATTTGATTAATGAAAGCCCTAATCCATCGGCTTTTAATAGGATCCTCATTCATTCTGCTTACCAAAGGTACAAATTGTGACTAATTCTCTTCAAAAGGTATTTGAAATCGCATTCCTCTGTGTGCAAAACACATTCCACTTAATGTGTATGTGGAATTGTTTACTTTTTTGAGAAACTTGCAGAAAAAAGACAAAGGTGTAACCAAGCTATTCTGTGTAGTCTCCTCTCGCTAAATACTGGTGGTTAAACTCCTAAGGAGTCTAGACTCATTTTTTGATTTTTTCACACATTCATTCAAGTCACATTATTTGAGCACAGGGACTACATACATAAATCAAGTCATATTTGCCACCCTCAGACTGATGTAGAGATTCAAATATGCAAACAAGTGTGATAAAATGTGGTTAGTTATTATGAGAGCTGGAACAGAAGTCTAAGATAACTGTTAGAAGTCCCAGAATGGTGGAGGGGAACACACATCCATGTCTGCTCCGGAAAAAAAAAAAAAAAATCCAGCTGCTTATCTGCACTGGCCTCCCCATGTGATCATTTAACCTGCAAGAACTGGCTCTTCTCATCCAGTAATTGGAGGAATTGAATGAGGGCTTGGGGAAATGTATCGTACAGCTCTGATCAAGGGCTGTTGTTATAATTAAACTAAACATCCAATTTAACAGCAGTCAGTAGAGCACAGTTTTTAAGGGCATGTGCTCTGAATTTGGAGGGCCTGGGTTCAGATTTGGATTTTCCTAGTTATACCACCTGGGGATAACAAGTTTCATAAGCTCTAGAAGCCTCCATCTGCTCACATGTAAAATAAAGATGAAAATAAAACTTACCTCCTAAAACTGTTATATGAGGGATAGTGCCCGGGAAACAGCATGTGTTCAATAAAGGAGAGTTATTTTTACCTTCACTGTGTCCACTCCCTCTCCTTCAAGCTATGCACAAATGTTGGCACTGATATTCCCAACCTGATATGAAAAACCCTAACAAGACCAAGACTAAAGTGTGTGTGTGTGTATGTGTGTGTGTGTGTGTGTGTAAAACATTGAGCAAATGGTAAAGTATAACTAAGATAAACATTAAAAAGTAACCTAGGGCTTCCCTGGTGGCGCAGTGGTTGAGAGTCCGCCTGCCGATGCAGGGAATACGGGTTCGTGCCCCGGTCTGGGAAGATCCCACATGCCGTGGAGCGGCTGGGGCCGTGAGCCATGGCCACTGAGCCTGCTCGTCCGGAGCCTGTGCTCCACAATGGGAGAGGCCACAACAGTGAGTTCGTGCCCCGGTCTGGGAAGATCCCATATGCCGCGGAGTGGCTAGACCATGGAGCCTGTGCTCCGCAACAGAAGAGGCCACAACAGTGAGATGCCCGCGTACCGCTAAAAAAAAAAAAAAAAAAAAAAAAAAGTAACCTATTGTAATATTAATTACGATATTATACATACATGCAGTTCTCTGAATTTCTAAAAATTATCAGCACACTTAACCACGTAAATAACCATTTTATCACAAGATCAAAATAGGAGGAGTATGAGGTCTCTCTTTAGGGGGATGAAAATGTTCTGGAATTAGATAGTGGTTATGGCAGCCAAACTTTGTGAATATACTAAAACTCACTGAATTGTATACTTTTTAAAAGGGTAGATTTTATGAATGTGAATTATATCTCAATAAAAAATTATGTCTCAAAAAAAGTAACATTTTAGAGCTCTAACAGGAGTCATTTAAATATTTAGCAGAGAAAATAGTAAAATAAGAAGATTTTAAACTTTATCTCAACTTATGGGGATTGAGGAATGTTTGTATGTGAAGTGGTAAAACTATACCAGTGCTAGTCGGCAAGTGAGAAAGAAGTGTTTCATTCTATTGTCTATAACTGGTAATTCCCGCACTGTTTCCTTCTGGCTGGGTTCCTGAATAAACTTGGCAGTTCCTGCACCACTGTGGGGTTCAGATGAGTGTGTAATTTATTAAGAATCTCAGGGAAAACTGCACATGAACTTACCTCATTAAACAGATCTGGTTACGCCATAACAGTATTTAAGCCAAACTTGAAGAGCAAAATCAGTCCCTAGGAACGTAAAAAATGTTTATGAAAACTAGGAACCAATAGAAAATCATTTCAACAACATGGTCCAGGAGAATGAGGACTTTGAAACAGTGTTTCCTCACATCTCTCCAAAAGTTCTAATGGTAAAATGTCCAAGTGCCTCTACAGCCACATGGCTTGTGGGCAGCCTCCTTCCTCGTTCAGCACCGTGAGTCCACAAGCATGAGTGTACCCAGAAACAGAGCTAGATTCCACGGACAAGGAAACATTTACAGAACATGTCCATATACCAGGCACTATTCTGAGCATTTTACACACACATTCACAATCCTTACAAGGGCTTCTGTAGTCAGTAGTAGTATTATGCTCCCCACTTAGCAGACATGGAAACACCAGCACAGAAAATAAATAATTAGTGAAGAGTGAGTATTTGGCCATGGCAATGCAGCTCTCCCAGTCCATGATCCTAGTTACTAGGCTAACATGGCTACTATAGGTTCATTTGGCATAATCAAAGTGCTCTGTGAGGGATGTTACATCTATATGACCAGGAGATCCTCTTTGTGAAGGGAGCATTTGAGAAGGGCCTTGAAAACAGACAGAAAAGACTTCAGTAGGTGGAGTGCTGGGGCCTACACTGGAAGTGGGCCATAGGAAAGAGCATCTAAAGCAAGGGAGCCATCAGAAGGAGGAACACACGGGCTGGTCCAGAATAAGTCCATCACCTTTGCCACAGCCAGGGTGTGTGTGAAGGAATAAGGGAGTGAGATATGGCAGGAAATAGAGATCAAGATCGTTACATGGAAGTCTTGAATTTGAGGCCTGAGTCTGGGCTTAATACAATGAGTGATGATGTCAGTGAAGACAAACTGATATAAATTTGCATATTTTTATGGATCAGGCTGTGCTTAAATATTATACAGATCATTGCACAAGCACGTTCTAGAGTAACCCAGTCTTTCTAAACAATATTATGTGTATATAGACAGTTTCTTTGAACCCTCTAAGTTAAATCTTCTATTTCCCTTTAGAACATTGTTTGAAAGTTAATTATTATTTATTAAATACACGTTAATATTAAATAAATTTCAATAGACTTTGTTTTAGAGCACTTTTAGGTTCACACCAAAATTGAGCAGAAGGTACAGAGATTTTCCATATACTCTTTAAAAACACACATCCTTCCTACCCCATTGGCATCCCCCGCCAGAATGGTATATTTGTTACCAATTGAACCTACATTGATTGACACATCATTTTTACTCAAAGTCCACAGTTTACATTGGAGTTCACTTTTCGTGTTGTCCATTCTGTGGGTTTCAACCACTGTAGTATCATATAGGGTAGTTTCACTGCCCTAAAAGTTCTCTCTGCTCCCCCATCCATCCCTAACTCTCCCATGACCCATGGCAACCGCTGATTCTTTTACTGTCTCCATATATTGTTGGCTTTTAGAATGTCATGTAGTTGGAATCATACAGTATGTTGCCTTTTCAGATTGACTTCTTTCGCTTACTAATATGCACTGAAGTTTCTCCTTGTCTTTTCCTTGCTTGATAGCTCATTCCTTTTTAGAGTTGAATAATACTCCATTGTCTAGATGCACCACAGTTTATTTATCCATTCACCTACTGAAAGACATCTTGGCTGCTTCCAAGTTTTGGGCACTATGAAAAAGGCTGCTACAAACATTCACGTGCAGGTTTTTGTGTGGACAAACGTTTAGGAACAAAACATTTAATAGGGCTAATGCAATTAACCAAGAAAACAATTTAGGTAAATATCTTTTGGGTTTGTTATTTATAATCAATTCATTTGATTATGTCATCAGGGAATTGCAAATTAAAATAACAATGAGCAATCACTACACACATATTAAAATGATCAAAATCTGGAACACTGACAACACTAAATACCAGCAAGGATGTGGAGCAACAGGAATTCTCATTGCTGATAAGAATGCAAAATGGTACAGTCACTTTGAAAGACAGGTTGGGAATATTTCACAAGATTAAACCTCTTACCATAAGATTCAGTGATCACATTCCTTGGAATTTACCCAAAGGAGTTGAAAGTTTATTATTTAAATCAGTCTCTCTTTCCC